ATCCACCCACTGATGAAGAAGCTTTTCCAAAGGCCCAGAAGGTAGAGACATTTCAAACCAGGGCAAGACTTCAATCCTATATATTCAGCATGGTTGTTAACTTTCTTTGGCTCCATGTGTGCTGAATTCAGCAACATGGGGCATCTTTTTGTTATGACGCAGGGAAACATAATGCCTTTAGTTATTGGGTAACAGATGTTTAGTAATGAAAGCAGCCCATTTCAAAAGCAATCATAAAATCACAGGGAGATGAAACTTGAACACATCTGAATTCCTATAGGATTCCATATGTGCTTTTTGTCCATGTGTTTACACTTTTAGTAATTCGGTAAAGCTGAGAACTGAATATTAAATGATTGGTTGTTGATAAAAATATGTTGATAAAAATATGTATGATTGCTAATATGCAACACTTATTTAATTGGAAAAAGTAAGACTCACAGAAAAAGGTATGACATGTCAAAAAGTGAAGAATAAACTTGAGGGTGTAGATTTAATCTATCATTTTCTTCTCCATATGGACTGTCTAACCACAGGAGTGCTTCTGCTCTATGACTATTTTTCTCTTAGCCATGAAATTTTCCTGGTTTGTTTCAGCTGCAGTTTTTGTCTCTGCACATGCCCAGACCTACCTTGGTTTGAACAGCTATCCTCTGCCTGTACCAAGTGGGGAAATAAAGAAAAAGCATCCCTCTATTTTGGGTCTCTCTGAGTAGGGAGATTCACACTAAGTGTAATTTATCTGTCTTTTGATCAACTGCAGTTATGATGTCCTCCTCTCCACAAAAACTGAGCTTGGAGCTGTGAGCCACCCATTTTTGCTAGCCCACAGGTTTTGTGTGTGGCTTGCTTTGAGAGACATTTCTTGTCAGTGTGTTTCTGTGTCCCACTGACTCTTCTGTCCCCTTCTGTTCACACACCTTAAGTATCTTGAGCAGCATCCAGCCTGGCATGGCTTTCTCCTAGGGAAGGACCTGAGAGGCAAATTGGAACTAGCTGGTCTTGCTTACATTACAGTAAACTGTAGAAAGTTAAATGAACAGTAAACTGTTGCATAAAAATCTCAATGCTATCATTATGTTTGCTACTAACTGTTTCGAAAATAGAAGTACATTCTGGGCTATTTGCAGTCCTGTTTCACATGCTTAAGCTCTAAATAAATAAAAACTGAGATGTCTTTGAACTTCATGATTCCCCTTTGGTGGTTTTGGGTGTCTGTAAGTTCACCCTGAAGGATCTGTTGAAAAGCATGCCTTTTTCTTACTGATATAGTTTCTAGAAACTCAGCTTTTGGATTCTTCTTTGAAACACAGATTTCTAAAATGTAGGCACTGAGTTGCTTGCCTTCTATGCAGGTAAGTCCATTCTTGAACTTTAACTCTACATATCCAAACAAAACCACGTGTGATTAACTAGAAATCATAAATGTTGTTTCAATCACAAGTGTAAAACATAATATTTATGAGAAAACCTTTGTAAAAGCACACTTATTCCTAATTATTTTTTATTTACTTCTGAACACATTTTCAAAATTCTCAAATATTTTGGTGGACTATGATATGAAGATTTTGGGCAGTTGGAAAAGTCAGTATGTATATTATTCAAAAGACTTTTGCAAACTAAAATGTCAAGGAAAATTATTTAGAAGACCACTACCCCTAAACAAGAATCCAGCTTTTTAGAGTGTATTCTGGTCTGAACAGATAGACACATATCTCCTCCTTTTTTATTTCATTTTAAATCTATTAAGCTTATTTATAGTTCCATGCTCATGGGGTTTTTTCCCATAAGACCTTCCTTTACATTTAATAATAAATTATAACAATTTAATAATATTTAATAGTAATTATATTAACTTAATAAAATTTTTTTCACTTGAGCATATGTTGTGGTTTAACCCAACATGTGGCCAGCAGCCAAGCTCCATGCAGCTGCTCACTCACTCCCCCACCAGTTTTTTTTCACTTGAGCATATGTTGTGGTTTAACCCAACATGTGGCCAGCAGCCAAGCTCCATGCAGCTGCTCACTCACTCCCCCACCAGTGGGATTGGGGAGAGAATCAGAAGAATAGAAGAGAACTTGTGGTGCTTCCCATGGCTGAGCAGATGTTCAGCCATCTCCAGGAGAGCAGGGCCTCATCACATGTAATGGTGACTTGTGAAGACAAATTCCAGCACTCTAAATGCACACCTTTCCTCCCTCTTCCCCCCTTTCTATACACTGAGCACGATGTCTGAGACATCTCTCTGGTCAGCTGGGGTCACCTGTCCTGGCTGTGTCTCCTCCCAACCTCCCATGCACCTACAGCTTCCTTCCTAGCATGGTTGTTGAAAAAACAGAAGAAGCCTTGGCTCTGTGCATGCCCTTCTCAGCAATAACAAAAACATCTCTATATTATTGACCCTGTGTTCAGCACAGATCCCAAACATGGCCCCCTACCAGCCACTGTGAAGAAAATTATCTCTACCCCAGCTGAAAACAGCACAGCATGCTCTGGCATTCAAGTATGAAGTATGAAGAAGCACAAGGACTAATCACTCACAAATTCACTGTCATGCCAATAAAGGTTCGTTAAGCCATTAGCAACCTACAAATTGGCACCTGGCATTCTTCCTATTCATTTTAAAGGCGATCCACAGTAGGATGCAAGACACTAAATTGGCAGCAATCACAAGCCTATTCTCTCTATTAAAGATGGTATCCACTGAGTAGCAGGTACTGCTGACATTCTCTGGTTATTATTAGAAATCACTGATTAAAAAAAATAAGTTGCTGTAACAGCAGAAGATCTTAGTATATTCTTGTGACATAAAAAGAGAATGAGAATAGAATATTTTCTATGCAATTTGCGTTTGATTTCATCTCCAGTATATTTATTATGCTTCATATTGATTTCCAATAATATTTCAGTATAAAGGGTAAACTTTTCTGTATCTATCTTTCGATATCATTTACCTTGAAATGTTTTCATTTCAATCACAAATTACACTGATAGTAATTAAGATGGGGAACTACAGAAATCAGTAGAGAAAAACATTTTATTAGAGTCTGAGGCACAGAGTGTGCCTTTATCTCTGATACCAGGCTCTGACATCCAAGGAAACACTGAATTTCATATAACACCATGAAAACAATTGTTAAAGTTAAATAGAAAAGCTAAAAGTGTGTGTAGATTGGAGAGTTTTCTTAAGTCCCTGAGTGAAAAAGTTGAAGTTTAGAGTTTAAACTAGTTTAGAAAACAGAAGACAAGATGGAAAACTTAGTGTTGTCTCTTTTCCTTCTTCTTTCTTCTTCTTCTAGAAGTTTTTGAGTAATAGTAAGTGGTTAGATAGAGAATTCTGCAGTGCAGCACTCAAGTAATGGGTCATTGGGTCACTAAGAAAAATAATATATGTATCTATTGTTAATTAGGTAAAAATAAGGGTCAACCCTGTCCTGGGGGCATCAAGCACAGCATGGCCAGTGGGCAAGGGAGGGGATTGTCCTGCTCTGCTCTGAGCTGGGGCAGCCTCACCTCCAGTGCTGGGGGCAGTTCTGGGTGCCACAATAAAAGAATGGCAGTGAACAATTAGAGAGTGTCCAAAGAAGGGGCATGAGGATGGTGAAGGGCTTTGAGGGGAAGCTGTATGGGCTGAGGTCACCTGGTTTGTTCAGCCTGGAGGAGACTGAGGGGAGACCGCACTGCAGTTACAGCTTCCTTATGAGGGGCAGAGGAAGGGCAGGCACTGATCTCTTCTCTGTGGTGACCAGTGACAGGACTTGAGGGAATGGCCTGAGGTTGTGTCAGGGGAGGCTCAGGTTGGATATCAGAAGATTTTTCACCCAGAGAGTATTTGGGCACTGGAACAGGCTCCCCAGGGAAGTGGTCACAACATCAAGCTTGACAGATTTCAACAAGCATTTGAACGATGCTCTCAGGTACATGGTGTGACTCTTGGGGTGTCCTGTGCAGGGCCAGGAGTTGGACTCAATGATCCTTATGGGTACTTTCTAACTCAGTATATTCTATGATTCTTTCATTCTGTCTGAATCCTAGTACCTTTCCCAGTAAAAACAAATACATCTGATAACAAAATAGATTTATTTATATAGTGCCTTGTGGTTTTTCTTCAAAAATAAAAATTCAAAACACAAAGCACATATACTGCTTGCTATTTTAGTTGTCTCTGTTCTCTGAGGCTTGAGTTGGAGGAGTCTTCTCAGTACACTGAGGTATCAACTCAGTCTGCAAGGCTTTTTGGCTGTTAAAAGCTTTTGCACTTCAAATTGACAGTCAACAAACTCTATAGCTGTGACTGAAATTAGAAAGCTTATATGGTATAATGTATTGAAAACTGATTCTTCTTGATTATTGTTAATTGCAGCCCTTTCAGTAACAGGCTATTACAGTGGAGGAATTGAAGGTTTCAAGAATACAATAAATCTAAGGGAATGGCTAATTTAGCTTGTGTTTCTGTGTGAATTGCATCCAAGAATAGAGGTGGAAATCTGAGTAGTTAAGGTGAAATTCACAATATTTCTAAATGTCCTCCTTTGAACAAGGGTTTTAAGCATATGTAAAAGGTTCAAGGTAGAATTCAGTCAGCCATGTACTAGAACCATGTACTGCTTTCTTACTGTTTCTTTCTGATGACTTTCTACTACAGCACAGTGTAATCATGACCTTGAAGCATCACAGTCATTTTACAGGACAATGAGATGGTTAGAGGAGGTAATTTCTCACACCATGCACTTTTTAGGGTGATTACATTTGGGCTCAAAAGACAAACATGACAGCTGTAGCACTAAATCCTTGAGTTAGGGTCAGTGCTCCTGATTTTAGCAATCATGACTACTGCTGACATAAAACAGTAGTTTTTTCCAGACTTCCACATTTACGCATTGACAGCACAGAAAATATGCCTTGAAGTGTTCTTAAACCTGGAAGTATCTGTGTGGAAATTTGAACTGCTGCTTTGTTTCTTAGTCTACTAAAATGACACTCTGTAAGAGGGTACCAACTATCAAACCTTTTAATAATGGTCATCTGAACTTCATTGGCTTCTCAGTTCCTGTGCAGGGTGAATGTTAGACTTCTTTTGCTTTCAAGCTTCTCCCTAAAAATCCTATGGATCACATATATAGAATTATACAAGCTGAACAGAAAAGGACAGATGTAAAATCCAAATGTATATAGTTCTACTGATGCTTCTGGATTAGTCCTTATCTCTTTTTCTTAACTTTTGCACTTGTAGTGTGAAGTTCTCTCTGGCTTCTCCCTGATTTACCAGATCTATGTACCAGCTACCTGTCAGATGTATTCTTTGAGCAAATGAGAACATGTGGCATTGTGTATCACTGGGGAAGTTTGGGGCTCTGTAGTTGTAGCTCATCACTGCAGCCCAAACCTGCTGAGTTCTATATATTCTATATATAGAACATATATCTATATATGTTCTATATGAACATGGACTCATTGGTGTGACTCAGAATTGAGAGCTCCTCTCCTGTCAGGTGATGTTGCTCCTTCCCCTTTCTGACAGCAAGGTTGAATTCACAGAGTTAAAAGATGTGTCTGGCTAGAAGGACCTCAGAAGGTCCAATAGTCCGGTATTACATTGACTTTGTAGAGGAATGAGACAAATCAGGTATTGAGCTAAGGCAGCTCTTATTATTGTAGTGCAAGAGCAGACTAAGCTAAGCAGAGAAATTCCTGTGGAGAGCAACTGATAATTCTGCTTCAAAGCCAAATTAAACCATCAGCTTTTATGTCAGACCTTTGCTTTCCATAAACTATAAACAGAGGAGATTATACCAGTTACTGTGTAATTTTGTCCTCTCCATGCTGGCTTATAATTCCAGTTCACACTGTGGCAATCCATACCTGTAAAAAATGAAGTAAAACATAAATAAAGTAAAATGTGCTTTGTGTTGATTGCTCCGGCTTTGGCATAATAATTTTGCTATTCTAGTGTCTGACTGGCATCAAAGAAGAGGAGGCAGAGGGTCTGTCATACATCATATCCTATGTTCCCTAGATCCTCAAATGCTTCACTGGTAGCCCTGTGTGAGTTCACCTTACATAAGATTGGTATGTAGATTTAGCTGTCTGTAAGCTTGGTGATATTGAATGCACAAATGTTTGTGCTTCAAGTTTGTCTCTTTGGTTTTACATTTCTTTCAGATGAACTATTACAAATCTATCATTTCAGTCCCCTGTGTCCCTGTATGGTTTTTGCATTTCATACTGCACTTTGAAATCAAGTGAAGTCTACATTGCTGCAATCTTCAGCTGCCCAAGTCTGACAGCCTTATCTTAAAGCAGATACTTGGAGGTGTTTTCCTTTGCTTATTCGGAGGTGGTTTAAGAAAGTGTGAGTCACAGTTTTCAAGTTTGATAGCTCTTTCCTTCCATTCTGGCTTTGTACACATGATCTGTTGTTTTTGGGTTGAAAATGTGTTCATCACTTATTTTTCAACTGTTTTTTGTTGTTGGCATATCGGTAGCGGTGGTTGTTGCTGTAGCTGATGTGGGAAAATGAAGGTGTTAGCCAGAACGCACTGAAGTTGGAAGCCTCCAGAAACAGCTGTAGGATGCAAGTGAGTGGAGGCAGGATGATTTCCAGGAGGCTGTGCTTGTGCAGTCAGAGCAGCCCCGACTGGAAGAGATTATGTCTCCTGCCTGGGCTTGTCTGTGGACAATTTGTTCTCCTTGCTGGACCTCCAGGCCACCCATCAGTTACCAGGGAGATTACTAAAGATCCCAGAATTTATTAAAACAATTAGTTAGAACATGACCCTTATTAGTGTATTAGGACACTTAACAGTTGTCTTTCAGTTACACCTTTGTTGCAGTCACTACTGACAGAAAACTCATAGTCTGCACAAAGAATACACAGCAGGCAAGTGTGAAAGTTAGTATTTGGGCCCCCTTGTCAGAAACGAATAAGGATTAAAAAAGTTTTTGCATTATATTATGAAATGTGACAAGTTTGCCCTTTGCCAAGTGTGACAGAATTCCTTGCAGACTGGGAGTTTGGGAGCCAACATATGAGAAAAGTTCTAGCTATAACTGTCAGACCCTTCATATCATGAAAAGAGGTGAAAAATTAGAAAAGACTGAAGAAGGCTTGGATGTCGGATACAACCTGCTTGAAATACCTCTAGGGAAAATATAATTAATTTCAAGAATGCAGCAATTCAGCCAAATCAAATTCTGGAAGACATGTAATGAGAAATGAAAACAAAGGTGCACAGGCATAGTTGTTTCTTTGAAGACCTGTGGCATATAACTAATATGTGAGAATGTTCATGTCTGTTTTATGTGGTGCACAGGTTAATAGAAGGACTTGGTAACCAGTATGTTGCAACCAATGCAGTACATGCTGAATAGAATTGTAAGGTAATACTTGATGAGTTTACCCAAACTGAAGCACTTGTGCACCATGCATGCATTTTATATTCATATTTATATGGAAGGCACAGTGATCAGGACTGGGCAGAACAGTTAATCTCTTCAGACATCTTGTACCAATTTCTCAGTCACAAATTCTTTGCAGAGTAGGAGGGACTTCACACTGCCTCTCCAGAAGATGAGTTTTCTGGATGTGGTGATTCCATCTCTGAGCTGACAAAGAAAGCAAAGAAAGCAAATCCTATTCCATCATCTCCGATAGGAAGTGTCATTCTTTCCATGTGTGTAAGGAGTCCTAAGTCTTTGCAAACCTCATGAATTGTGTTAGAAAAAGAAGAAATTGAGAGGTGAGGGTGTGCATTGTGAAGAAGAAAAGAATCATAAAGAAGTTTAATATATTGTTCTCAGTTGGTTTCAGCAAACCGTAAAAGACTGTGGCTGATATTGTTGAAAAATGTGTGACATTAAACTAAAATCCAATTTCTCTCTGTCTTAAAACTCTGTAAAAGTAAAGAGGGGAATGACTTCTTTCTCCAGGGCTCTTCACATCTCTTACCAACTTCTGATACCTGGCAGAGGATGCTGGTGTCAGTGGTCTGAAGTGTGTTGATAGTTCGGGGTTTACCATACAGCAGGATGTGTCTCAACCAGAGTGTGTTTCACAGCACACCAGTTTTAATGTGCTGTAAAATGACAAACCAGTTTTAATGTGCTGTAAAATGACAAATATAAACAGAATTTTAGTCAGAAAACCTTATTTATGTGGACATTCAAAGTGCCAAGGTAGAACAGCAGAGACTTGACTCTGCTCCCATTAAATCTGTGGAAGGGACTGGAAATCCCTCTGGGGTGATAGTTTGTTCACTATTAATGAATTAGAGGTAAATGCTGTAAGGGCACTATGAGGGCCAGCTGCTTCCTGCTGCTGTGTGAACCACTGGGAGCATGGGGGTCACCCAGGGCAGCTGGACAGGGTCTGGCAGGTGGGGTCTGTCCCCAGCTGGATCTTATGCCAATGCTATATTTTCTAATTTAGAAAATTTCACTCATGATTTTATGATGCTGTTCCTGCCACCATTTTTTACTGCAGGCTCTTTGTATCAGATTTAGCAATTTTGTGGCTGCAGAGTAAGTCAGTTCAGCAAACATCCAAAAGAAAGAGCACCACCCCCTAGAATCAACAGCTAAATTCTGTGTTGCCTCTTGGGACCAATTTACCTTCCTGTTGCACAGCTTCTGAGGCTGATGCACAGAATGAAAGGAAACATTCAGGTGTCTTGGAAACACTGACTTGATCTTAATAGTTCCCTAAGGATACTTCTAATACCAAATGACACTTAAAATGTGTTTTTCTAACACGGTTTAAAACTAAGCTAAGATTGAGGCTGCCATTGGTTGCTCTCCTTTCTGTCTGGCTCTGCTTCTTTCCCATCCTTTTGGCCTCCCATCTTTATGCTCCTTTTGGAATGAGGCAGGGAGATGAACCATCTGGAGACTGCCTTTCAAAAGGTTGGTCTTCAGCTGGTTTAACTCCCCATCCCAGCTCATGGCAGCGTGACGTGTGGCACTGCTGTGCAAAGATGAGGGCAGGAGTGTGTGAATTAATGCATGAGCAAGAGAGAAGCAGCTCTGGTTTTGACAATGTGAACTGTCATAAATCACACACAGGAATGGTGATTCCTGAGCCACATAGTGGTGAGATACTCCTGGAGCTACACATTTTATTCATAGCCTTGGTCATTCATATGCCACACACACAACTATTTTGGATAAATGCGTGGATCTGTAATGCCCCTAGTTTGTTCTATACCTCCTGGTTGAAGTTTGCTTCCTTGTGCACTGCAGACCCTGGGAATTCCAGAAGACACATGGGATCTAACAGCCAGTGGTCTGCAGCTGGTAATTAGTACCATTTAGCAGCTGCTGAGCAGGATAGTAGTCTGTTATCCTTTAAGATCTCTAATACAAATTGTAATGAGTTGCTCACAAGGCTTCTAAGCCAGCTGGCATAAACTTGCTCTGCATGTTGTGGGAGTTAAAGAGGGACTGACTCTTGCTTCATAAAGAATATAAGTCAGCAGTAATTTGATTTATGCCAATTAAGTAGTGTTGGCATAGGCTCAACATAAATGTTGGTGAAACAGAGGGGGTGTGCAGTCTGTTCAGATGAAAATCCGTGTTGTATGCAAATTCTGTAACTGTTACAATTAAGGAAATCATGGGTATGTATGACAATAGTTTTTGAATTAAGGTACTGACCACAGAATGAGTTATTTTGTTGATGTATGTTTTAGTGTTTATCATTTAATGGCTATGGGACTGGAAATTTGCAAATTCTGAAATAAATTCAACTTATTTAGAAAAATGCTGTAAGAGCTGAGGTTTGTATTCAATTCTACAAGCATTTGAATGTACAATCAGGTGTTTGTGTAGCTGAAAAGTTGGCCTAAAAATTATACTGGCAATTTTAAGAGCTTTCAAACTTATCTCTAATGTGAACCTGGTGGGTTGTGAGCTTTTGCAATACTTGACAGTAGCCTGATAATAAAGTTCTTATTGGTTTTAGTCACCTTTGTCAGGAACTCCAGGAAAATTCATACATGGGTGACAGATAAAATATGTGTAAAAAATGAAATACATGACCTAAATGCTAAAATGTTTCATTCCTTTTTCTTTCTTTTTTTTTTATTAACCTTGAAATAAATAAATCACACTAACTAGCTGAAAGTGAAAGTTTTAAGAAAAGCCATATTTAAGTATGATCAACTACTTTTCTCTAAGGTTAATTTTAAAATGTTCAACTTCTGGTAAGCATTACAAAGCTTTGTTTTATTGTAATTTTATCTCACTGTCAGATATTCTGGATTCAGTCAGGTCTGTGCTACCAGTTTTTGTTGACATAGCTATTTTGTCCTCAAAAGTAGCTGTGTTGGCAAAACCCTGGCTGAGTGTTTTTAGCTGTGTTGATAGACCTGGTATTTTTAGCTAAGCATGTTTTATTCTGTAAGGTGGTGTTGAATGATTTTAGCAACACCTCTGTTATATACACAGGTCATAGGTGCAGTGAGATAAAATCACGGCTTTATTAGCGACTAAGACCTTACAACAACAGTTCTCTCCCTCTGTCCTGGCCAAAGCTCTAAATGGAGGCAAAACCACGGGTCACCATGATTGCTTTTTGATTTGCTTTTTGCTGCACCCCTTGCAGCAATGTCTTTGGACCATGGAACTGAATGGTTACTTCCAGTCTTCTCAAAATTACTGTGATTTACACCACTGTTTTGCCTTCCACATCACAACTTAACTCAGGTGTGATATATTTGACTGCTGCCCATTGTCACTTTTGTGTAAGAAGATAGGTTAATTTGTCACTAAGAAGATAGGTTAATTTGTCACTGCTTGGGCATGGTGACAGGCACACACTAAGATTTTTTAAGCCATTGGGTTTGTGGACTTAATATTTTCCAGTGGAGACACAGACTGAATTATATTTAATGTACACAGAAATGAAAGAGGGGTAATTTGCTTGAAGGAAAAGTTTTAAATGTAGCAGCTCTTGAATAACTGTAGTCCCTAACTCATAAATTATTCTGGCTGTGTCTACATTGATAGAAATATCTGTCCCATGAGACAATGGTGATTCTCATGGATCTCATTGGAGTTTGACTTAGTGAGTGTGTGGCTCAGAGATATAACCATTATTTTCCATATGTTCTTCCAGTTCAAGATACCTCAGATAACAGGAGGGCTGTGCCCTCAAGCTCCAGCATGACAGTGCATGGCAGGAAGCTGTCAGGGCTGAGAGTGCCTGAGTGGGGACACAGCAGTTGATGGCACAAGGCCTGGTAGGAAAGCTGCACAAGTCTAGGCACAAAGAAAGGGCTTTATCTTGTCACATGAGCTGCTTGAAGTGCACTCCCACACTGAGTGACCAAACAGCCCCTCAGCTGTTTCCAAGGCTGGGTTCTGACTGATTTCTCCACTAAGAGAGTATGGGAAAGAACTACTGTGTATTTTGATCTCCCAGGATTAAAGCTGGGAGAGATGCTGGGTGTCGCTGTAGGATTACCTCTATTAGTCTGATTCATTGGTGGCTTGGTTTGTTTCTTTTACAGGTAATATTGTGCCCAATGGAGCACAGATATCAGCCTCACATTTCACATCATGCTTTTAATTTTGGAAGAGAATCAGTGACCCAGTTGCTTTGGGGTCATGGTATTATGATTCCTGGCTGAAAAAAATTGTAAACTATGGGAACTCTAGCAGGGAGGATGAAAATGTCAGCCCTGTCCTAATCAGTGCTCTGTTCAAGCAGTGGGCACTATAGCTTGGATATGCAAGGCTAATACTGTCAAACTGAACCAGTATTAAAGTACAGAAGGAGTAATTTCCCTCTTCATTTCTGAAGTCTGTGAATGGCACACTTATCTGTCCAAATGTGCATATTTTGTTTATGGTTTGCTGCCTTTAATCTTTGTGCAAGAGAGGTGGGAATTTATTTCCAAGAGTTCTCCTGAAAATGAGGAGATCTGAACAAGTCTGACAGATGTTGACAATGAACTCTGGAAATATTTCATGTAAAAAGCAGTGAGATTACAAATCAGTTGTTTGCAAAGCTCATTAAGGGCATGACTGCTCTGAATAAACACTGTCAACTGATGAGCTTGTTCTGAAGGAAAGTCTGAGCCGTTGCACTAGTCATAGTGGGGTAAAATTGCTGTAGCAAATGTCTTTGTTAGGTAAACAAGACCTTAAAAGAATTATTAAATTACCAACACTGGTACTTGGATTTTAAAATTTAATTTTTAACTACTCATAGCAAAAGCATAAAGTAAATATTTTTCTAAGACTACATTCATCAAGCATTTATAACGTCTTGCATTATTTCATTTGGTGTTCTGATTAAGAAATTACCAGAGACTAGCATTCATCTGTTCTCACATGTAGCTGAATTGTGTAGCAGGTTTCTCATAAGCACCTTTGATACAAGCTGAAAAGTATGGAGTGACTGCTGAGGAATGACAAAAGATAACTAAGGAGCTATGCATGTGGAGGGAATTCCAAGTGATCAATCTGTACAAAGTTTAAGATGCCAGTGGTGGACCAAATATCTGACTGTGGAGGAACTAATGGGAAAAATATGACTCTTAACTGGTGGAAGTGGAAGGGGTGGGAGGATGCTATAATACATCTTTCAGTATCACTTCTGTTGTGATTTAATTTCATGGTCAGTTTATGCCCAAACTCCTTTCAGCTATTGGTGGAAAATGGTGGCTACCCCATTCTCCCTATTCATACCTGTTACTCAGTGCCACATTCTCTGATCCTTGGTCTAGTTGGGAAACTAAACTTTGCTGTGTACCAGCTGACAAAAATGTGCAGCCTGGGGGTAGGAGGAGAATGTGATAATCCATTCCAGAATCTATGCTTCTGCAGCAGTAAGTCAGGATGAGCAAGTCCATCATGAGCAAGTAAAGCTTCCAGCTGGAGTTATTCCTGCTAAACTAAAGAGAACAAAAATAGATGTTAACAGGTACAAAGTTTTCACTTAATGGCTGCTGTTCCCCAGAGGAATAGTTAATAGGAGCATACACTCATACTCTCTATACAGCAGAATAGTTAATAGGAGCATACACTCATACTCTATATACAGCAGAAAAGATGGCCAAATGTTAGGTAATAAAGGTGTTAGATGCCTTTATTTTTGTCTGTTCTGTTACTGCTAAAACTGAGCTTGCTGTCAATACAACACTGTCCAATGTCTAAGTTTGTGTTGCCATCAATAGCAGATCCCTGGTGGGTTGCTGATAGCCCTGGGCCCTCTGAATTCACCTGTCAGGCTCTGCTGTGGCTTCAGATCAGTACTCCTTTTGTCTGGAGCAGATATTAGGTCACAAATGGCTCTATGTGCCAGCCTAGCTCGATTATTACCACAGCACAGTGTAAGGGCTAGTTGCTGCCATGTATATCAAAATCTTTAGTGCATTATGCACCACAGTTACACAGAGCTAAACAAAACTGTATTAGATAATTGTCACCTTGTCATCAGCCAGTTGCTATAACAACTAAAACAAAGCTCAAAGCAAACCAGAAAAAGTAAAGGCTTACAGCCCTAGCTCCACAGGCAAAATTAGTACAAGACCTGTGCCTGGTAATGGGCACAGCAATAATGACTGTACTGCATGATAAGGCTGTATTGTAACTCATAATCTAGACAATACAGTCAATGGAAAGTGAAAAGGTATTCAGGTCTAGAATAATTTTGTTAAAATTACAACACCAAGGATATGTAAAAAGCTCTGTTGATTATTATCTTTCATTTCTGATGAGACTTCAAAGCATCCAATGCTTTCTGAAACACCTTTATGAGATAGGAAATTAGGTATGAAATTCTGTTCCAAGTTGTCAATAAGTTTGTGTTCCAAATCTAAAAGATATCAGAGAATAGACGTACCTGTTTGTACATACACAGGAAGGTCTTCAGAGTTTGCTGTGGGGTTGTTGTTTGTTTTTTTTTTCAGGTAAATGTCAGTTTCCTGTTTTTAAGTCAGTTTTTAGTCTCTTCTTTCCTGTAAACTTTTCTTACATGGAAGATTGCAAGTAAAACATGTTTTAAAAAAAAAATCTTGTGAAAGCTTCCCTAAAATTGCATTGATTAAGAGATATTTAGCATTTCTTGAATAGAGTTTTGTATTACTTTCTGTCTTCATTAGAGCATTAAATCTTAAATTACTAGCAGTAGATAATACTTACTATCTAACTACTTCTAGGTAGTAGTTCTATAAAAAGAAAAATATGAACATAAGGTGAATATTTTCTACTGACTAGTGAAGTATTAAGTAAATAATCTAAGTGAATTGTCTAGTAGGAAGGGGGATTTGTTTCTATGGTCGTCTTTTCTTGATTTTCTTTATTTTATTGTGTTTTGCAGAGGGGATAAATTCAAGGATAGAATATTTTTTTATTATTTTTTTTCTTAAATGCAGAGGCATGTAGCACATAATCCTGATTCAGGACACAGACTTTTTCCCAGTTGAAAGGAAAGTTTTCATTTCTTGCCCTGGTAGTCTGTGTAATGTGAATTTCCTGAAGCACTGATCAAGCTGTGTGCAATAATGTGGGAAAAGACATGACAATGAAAAAAGAGAAAAAAAGCTAGTGATCTTTTATCCACACTCCCTTTTTTGTCTGTGACTCAGTAATTTGTTTATGGTCACAATTATTTAATATTCTACTTGAAGATCAGAGTTAATATATTAATTCTTTATGCTGTAATATTGGTCTACATTTCTGCTGGTAGAAAAAAAATCAAGGCAAGCCAATTAATTCTAATGGATTTCAAACTTGGATCTAGAAATGATCTTTCTTTTTAGTTTCAACTGCAAGGAGTTGCAAAATGGATCTGGAAAGGCATTACTTTGTTTTGCATAGCTTCTTTTTGAGAACCAAGTTTTCTGGGGTTGGTGGGAGGAAGATATACCATAAGTTCCCCATATTTTTTATACTTCAGTAGCCAGAGTTTTCTGTCTCTTGGTTACTATTTTAGTTTCCAGATGAAATTCCTGTGGAATGCTGGTATAAATGCAATTTCCCAACCCACTGACCTTCCCATGTGTCCTGCTTCTGCCAAAAGAGAGGTCTTTACTCTCTGTCTTTGCATAGAAGGATCTATCCTAAAGTCACTTTTGGTGATCCCAAGCTCATAATGATTGAGTTCATCTCAGTGACCCAACAAGAAATTTCACATTTGATTTTTGTTGATGCTAATTTTTGAGCCATCAGAGTCAGCTCCCACATGCAGAGACAGCCAGAGGTAAAGGTGAGTACCTTTGTGAGTGGGGGAAGGGAGCAGACTCCTTTGGTTAACGCCCTACCTGTCTTATCCCATCTTGTAGAAACACAGACTGCGGATGCTGTTTCATATCTGTCCTAGTCAGTATAGATTTCTGCCACAAACCCACAGTGTGCTTGCTCTTCCACCACATGATGTGTGATTTTCTTTTTTCCCCTGCAAAACAGGGGATAGACGAAAGGGAACACTTTGGAGTGTTAATTTCTTCAGGTGAAATCCTGGTGGGACTGGGAGAATGGCATTATTTTCAGAGTCTTAAGAAATCTTCTGTGATATGGAAATAATATTTTCTGCCCTACTAAAGAAATGGCATAATGTAGGAACATTGAAAATATTAACTGTTGAGGAGGATATAGTTGCATGCCTGTTTAAGGAAGGAGGACTTATAAGTCTTTACTCACTTTAAACCTGAGGTAGTGAGAGTATCTCCATATGTGGTCAGAAACTTACATATTAAAAAAGGAAGAAACTTAGTTCTGAACCTCTGTTTTTAATGGTCTCTCTGTGGATAAGGTCAAGTGTGTGCTTCAGTATGAGATTTGCGGACCAGAGAGAGCAGAAAGGAATGGTTTGCTTTTTAGTGTTCATCTGTTTCTCCTGATGTTATGAAATTTTGTAAATAATTCTGTACCTTTCCACCCTGGTTCTGTGCTTTTCATCTTGCTCAGCAGGTGTTACACAGCTTTTTTAATTCTATGTTACCTAATGCTCTGATTCTACTTTTGGTGGATGTGGTGGGGACTAATAATGGCTAACATTCAAAGTGGCATTTGCAAGAACATAGAAGTCTTTTACAATTACATAAATTAAATGAGGCAAGACCTTTGGTGAGGAGAAATAGGTACCATGGAACTATTTATAAAGTAAAAATTTATGGAGTACTTTTGATTGATCTTTGATTTGAATTTTGATTCAAAGTTTAAAAAAGAGCAAAAGATTAAATGAATTTTCCTAACTATTGTAAATATTTGTCCATTATACCAGTGTGTTTTTCCTTTATGATGTGTTTAGTAATGATGATTCCAAGTGTTTCACTCTAATTTTACAGGCTTGCAACTATTTAACCAAATATTCTTTCTTAGGAGAAATTTTTCTAGGTCACCTAGAAAAGATAATAGGTCAAAAATAATCCAGCACATTCAGAAAACATTGCTTCTATAAATTGGCAATATTTGAAAAGGAAACTGACCTCTTTCAAATAAGTAAGTGTCTGAATGCTGTAAGAAGTTTAAATGTACAGTGAAAATGGAGTTGCAATATATCCTTGAAAGAAAGAAAACAGATAGAGAAAATCTATGGATAGGAAAGAGGTGGTGGTCATGAGTCTTTTCACAGATTCACAGAAGAGTCTTGAGACAAATGTCTGGGCCTCCTGTAGAACAGACATCTCAGTGGAACCCATCTCACAACTTAAATTTTCTTTGCAGTTGTTTGCGTGAGTCCATCCAGGATCTTGAGTAAGAATTAAGCTCAGGATTTCCAGATGATGAAGACAGAACCACCTGTGCTCCAACTCAGGAAACATTACTGGCAGATATTCTCATGGAGAGAGGCCTTTTAAAAGGGTTTTTCATGCCACTTTAATGAAGACAGGGTTGCAATGAGGGTGTGGAGTCCCCTGGTACTGCCAGGCATTGCTGCTGCACAGTTGTGTTCAAGGAGTGAAGGCTGTTTCTGTGGGTTCGTCAGTGCTTTGATTCAGAATGAAAAGGTTATAAAGGCAATAAAGACCATGGGGGGAAAGTGCTGAATTCTCACACTTCAGTGAGCACCAATGTGAAGGGCTGTGGTTTTGCTTGCACTTATAAGCCTGTTTTCATTTCAAAGGATTTTGATACAAGTAACTGGGAGTGGAGCGTGGCTCCAAATACCGTTTTAAAGATTATGCTGCATCAGTGATCTGTCAATGCACTGGATAGGTTAAATTGAATGCAGATCATCTAGCTTTGGTGTGATGATTAATTTCAAGTGATATCAATTATGAATACCAGTTTCAAGTATTTACTGAAAAAGCCAGTGTATCACGTGGGAGCTTGGAAAAGTAAAATAACACCAGTTAACTGTGATTTTTCTCCTGAATGAACTAATCAGGTGCTTGTGACCTTGACACGCTCTTTCCTCCAGCCCTTCCCTCCCCTCTCATATGCACAAAACTGTCATGCTCATCCATACACTTGAAAAGTCCTTGATACTGTTGATATGTACTGTTCATTATCAAAGTTCTTTTGCTTTACAGGCTTAGCTATTAAAGCAGGTGAGATGGCAAATGCTGATAGTTCTGCAGTTACATAAGAGGTTTGAATATACTATTAAATCCTCTGATGAGGATGATTGAGAATCAGCCTATTAACAGTTGTGAATTAAGTGTACTGCTGTTATATTAGGTGTATTAACTCCTGTTCCTCTTGTTTTTTTGATATTTCAGTGCTACGGCTGTTGAAGGATGGTGCTGACCCTCATATGCTTCTTTCCTCAGGAGGCTCCTTGCTCCATCTGGTAAGAGTGATTGAAGATTAGTGTTAGTGAATGTGGATAAACATGGTGGGATAGTGAGTAGCAGATCTGGCATATTAACAAAAAAGAAAGACTTAGCAATTTTTTTTTTAATCTACACTGAGATCTGCCATGGCTATGATTGCATCCAGCTGTGCTTTTTAAATAAATGGTCATTTTCAAATTGCTTACAAAAGAATGGAACATGTCACAGGAGTGGTAGCTAACAAAGGAGAATGAAGTGTTTTATTTAAAAATTAACTATGCAGCAAGAAAGAGAAAAGGAAATACTACTCAATTCTAAATACAAAATTTGATGGTGCAAAGATTCAGAGGTCCTATATGAAAAAAAACCCCCATGATTTAGCATTTTTCCTTTTGTTTTTGTGATACTTTCTTGCACCAGTTTCCTACGTGTAGGTATTTAACACATTATCTGCATTTAGTTTATCATTATTTGCATAGAAATTCAGTTTAAGTA